TTGCGTTTCACATTGCCAAATGTATAGTACTTTTTGTGGGTTAGGGGTCAGACTTCGCGTACTACACTTCTACTTTGGAGTGAAACGGTTAGAAGAATACTCCAAAAAACACATATTGAACTGTACGGGAACTGTTCCATTGGATGCCGAGTAGACATTCACTCAAAATTCCCATCACCTACAAACTCGCTGTACAAACAGTTTGAGCAACGCACACAGGCGTGTCCAGACAAAGACACGACCCGCGTGACACATCGCACATTCAGTAGACACTCGACACTCCACCCAGGTCACACAAAGGCTGAAATCAACTACCACGAAGACGTCCCCGGGGTCGATATTGCACTCTGTAAGAAATGGTCTCCCTAATCGTAAAAATCGCCTGACACAGTCAGTAGCTTAGGTGCTTTGTACGAAGCAAAGCCTTCGATCTAACCTATCAGAAATTAGCGTGATTTATTGGTAATCAGTAAACTCCCAGCGCTATTTTGCCAGTCATGGGACTGTAACATTTCTGCTCGGATTAAAGGCTCTTTTAGGAGTCTTAAGAGTGTGTTTGTATTTGGATTAGCCTTGGCGACAGCGCGAATGCTGTACATTTTGGTTTTATGGAGATATGTTTACCTTTCCTCCGGAAGGTAATCAAATGACATATAACCGCTACTTCCGCCAACTGATATTAACACAGGTACTATTTTTGTGAAAATTCCCATTGAAAATTTCAGAAAGTAAACTGGCGAACATACGTTTATTTTCGATAAATTCTCGTCAGGCCTTTACATTTATATGGTAATTTAGTAAATAAACTATGCGGATTGGTATAAAAATAGTGCGGTTGTCAGAGTAGGTTGGCGGGGGAGGACTCGTTGTCAAAAATCTGATCAACTTTAGAGGGGACTGGTAGTTGAGCGAGGTGCTAAGCCGCTGGCTGTTGTATTAGCGGCTGTTGACCGTGGTAACTGCGGCACCACGACGAAGTTCTTTTGGACACACAGGACCGGTCGTCGTAGCCTGATGTAGCCCTAACGCTGATCAGATTTTTGACCCCTTTCCCCCCCCCCTCCACGTCCCTCGACAACCGTCCTATTGTTTCCACCAACCCGCATAGTTGATTTACTTAAGTACCATATAAATGTAAAGGCCTGACGAGAACGGGTACTATTGCCTGAGAACCGCGGTATTCTTACACTATACATTCTTAACTAGGTCATCCGCATCGTTATATTTCTATTCAAACAATAGGATTGGATATTTGGAAGCCAGCAGATGACTTTGACATTCTCATGGAGCATACGCCAGAGGAGGAACTGGCAATCTTCGAGAGAGCCATCGCACCCTGTCTGCTAGAGTTGGACCGCATTATTGCTGACGGCTCGGCTGCCACGCTTTCTGTTTCAAACGGAAAGGCTGCTGGGGCCGCAGTTGCAGACCTACGAGGTCCTCTTACACCCTCCTCAAATTGCGCTACGTGGGTAGCCTCAACAGCCAAAAAAACAAATTATTCACTCAAAAAAACTGCGCGTGCTTTAAAGCTCTCCCTAGCGACGGCTTACTGGTATTTTAAGCTGTCAAAAGGCCCGACAGACACTTTGTCAATTTCGGGTTCTATCGATGAGTCCGGAAGCATCACTAGTCCAACTACGCCAATTAGTCTACATCCTTCGAGAAAATCATATCTTGCACGGTAAGTCATTCACTTTATTATGTTAAGACAGTTCACAAAATATTTCCAGCTCCAATAAAAATACTGAGTTAAGTATTTCAATAAATGTTAACACAACAAACCCCTTTGGAGAATAAAAGTTTTTTAAACAGAGGAATGTGAAAAGATTTAAGACGATTTTAGTGGAAATATGTGAAGTCAATATAAGATAAACAAGCAAATAAATATATGAAAAGGGAAGGCTTGTCGGAAAGAAGAGATTTACTCGTAAATTTTCAAGCATGTATCACTTGCTTGTCATCAGACCTACTGAAAACTGGAAGGTGCGTTTGTTGCACTGGTGTTTAAGGACGCAGACAGCGAGAAGGCCAGATGACCTTGCGAGGGGGAGGTGCGCAGTGTGTTGTGGTGACTGTCAGACGTGAGCCGAGGCTATTCAATTAAATATATAAATGAATAACTGAGGTAGCCTGTATTCCGAGATGATAAATGTAGAA